GAAACTAAAAACGGACCGGTTACCTAAAATTCATCAATTAACTTGCATTTATAAAAAAAACCCGAATAGTTTATTTAGAAAGCTGTTGTGCGTAGTCGAAAGCCACCAAATCGTCCAGTGCAAATTAACGCAATTGTGGCTTGTGCAGGTGAGCTAAATTGCCAGGCGAAAATAAATAGGTTCAAGAAAGAACGCAACTAAAAACCGGCTGAGTACCTAAAATTCTCTAATTACTTTTTAATTATAAAAGATAATGGCCTAGTTCATTTAAAAGTTGTGGGGTATAATCAAAAGCCACCAAATCGTCCAGTACAAATTTACGCAATTGCGGTTCATGCAGGTGAGCTGTCCGGCCAAACGAAGATATAGTTGGTTCAAGAAAGGAACGAACTAAAACCCGACTGATTACCTCAACTTAACTAATTAACTTTCATAATTATAGAAGAAAACGGCACAGTTTATTTAGCAAGTTGTTGGGCATAATCGAAAGCCACCAAAACTTCCATTAAAAAAAAAATGGGGCGCCAATCCATTCTTTGAAGGTGGTTGGCCAGCGAAGCTGTGGTGTCACCTGCATTGATTGCCCAGTGCGCTATACCAAATAACTGACGAAAGAAAAGTAAATGCACTGTACTAAAACTCTTTATGTGGAGCATTTTCATGCGAACCCCACAAGGCGGAACTCCAGTCCTTAACGTCCCAGAAAACATCCGTCTCATAAACATAGAGAACAAAGCCCACCTCAACACTGCTGCTTGAAATGTCGATGAAAGGTTACTGAATCTCCAGGTGAACGCCAAGAGAACAAAGAAGCGCGAGCTCTATTAAGCATCTTCGAATATTCTTATAGACCAACTTGAATCCTCCAAGACCTTAAACTGCACAGCCGAAAGCCCTCGTTAAATCTCCAACGTTGTTGTCCGTGTAGTATTTATGCCTTCTAGCACTGGTGACATAAGCAAGCTCGACAGGCTTGCAAAAATGGAGTGACCGGAAGTCTCTTTGGGCGCAAGCGGCACTTCATGTTTGTAAACAGCAAAAGGGTCTTATCATATGAAAGGCTAGTGATGTCACTCCCCGCGTCGCAAGCTGACATCGCCACGGCAGCTCGCAAAACAGTAATCTTTACCGAGAAACGTATGTGGTGAGAGCTACGTGTTCGCATTGTTATCAGGAGCGTCTTATGATCAATGATCTGGTTCGGATGCTTGTCTTGTGCTTTTTTTTTTTTTTTTTATTGAAACGAATGCTGTGTTGCGTGATATGCACATTTCGCTGCAATGGCTGAAGGCTTTTCTTTTTTTTTTTTTTTTTCGTGGGGACGACGACACGAAAAAATTCCAGAAATTCGACCCGTGAGTCATATACAGCTTCGCTGTAAAAGAGGTAATGCGCGTGCACTATTATACCGCGTCCAGAGAAACCTCCTAATTTGGGCGCGAAAATATAGCTCTGATTTGATACCACCTTCATCTCCGCATGGCACAGCCCCTCGCCATGAAGCCAAAGCGATATATCACGCGCATAGCCGTGACAACGCCACCGTAGAAGGGGCGAGATAGTGTGGCGCAGCTCCCATTGCGAATAAAAAAGTCAAATTTTGGGGTTTTTACTTGCCAAACCAACGACGGGCATCTTGCACGCCCCAGCGGAAGACTGATGGTTAAACTCGTCCACCTGGGTATATTTTGACGTGCAACCGAAACTTCGGTTACCCCCCCCCCCCCCCCCCCCCCCTGCAGGTGCTCGGCCTCAATTGCGACATGTCTGTCCGATCCCCGCGCCTCGTAGCAGGGTTGTTGCAGTTGGGAAGCTCGTGAAAATTTTAGGGTGTTTCGGACCCTCCAAACTATCCTCCTCCCCCCCCCCCCCCTTCCCTGCTTACACCACATACTCTCTTCGAAAATATCAGCTGATATACCAAAATCTTATATCTTTTGTGCAGAAACTTTTTTTCGATAAGCAAACCTGCCACTAAAACTGGGAAGCACTTAGTAATTTGAGTAGAAGTTATTCAGAAAAAGTAATTATGGTAAAATAGTGATTACCAAAATAAAAATGTAATTGAAAGTTGCTATACTACTCTGAAAAGTAGTTAAACTACAGTAACTTGAGTAGAGTAGTTGAACTACGTACAAGTCTGGTTTTTGGTGATGTGAGGTTATTAACAATTTATTATTAACAAATTATTAACAATCGATGCTACGCGATTTCGACGTGGAGGCACATTCGAAGATATTCGAAATTGCTCTGAGCTATCGTACAGAAACAACTCCTCAAGCTTCTTGCTGTTGGGGTCTCTCCTACATGCAGTAACAATAATAAAGTCAAAGCCTCATAGAGGATACCGCCTCTATCGACTCAACGCGTAAACACGATGTGAAGCGTGTAATGCGCACGTTGGAAAAGAGCTACTGGAGAGCGAACCATAACGTCTAACGTCTCCGAGTGCCACGCAACCTAACAAAGTCACTTAGATCGCACATCAGTAAGTAACCGCAGATGGATAACCAAGTCTACAAAATTATAAAGTGAGGAAAGTTAATTTCAACCTGAAATAAAGCTTATTACGTTTAAGAAAAATTAAAAAGAAACCCTGAAATTTGGATGGTCATGCACCGAAATGTCCACGCACCGAAACTTACTTGCACCGAAATAAATGCTATACTACACAGGCGACGCTAGGAGCTAATCGCGCCAATCAGACAGCATCAAAAGCGCACCGTCATTGTGTTCGTCATGTTTCTGTGTGTTGCGGTAGTTACAGACGAGCCTATGATACTACACCCATAATCGTTACCTCTATTTCCTTTTCTAACTATAGCGCTAACAACTTTTTTTACAAGGTCTACCCTATCATAAACAGGCTCAGTGACCTGCGCTTTTGAGGCTGCTCGATTGTTTGCATCAGCTCGTAGCGTCGGCTGCGTCTGAACTGAAGCTGAAACGAAGTACACAATTTCGGTGCAGTATCCTTAGGGCTGGTTCCACCAAGAAGGACGTGTACAAGGACGCAACATACAGGAGCGCGGCATCCAGCTAGTCCAGCGCGGAGGGGGCACTCCTCAAGGACAGAAGGTTGCCGGCGAGCGGAGATTGCTTATAAGAGGGGGAAAGTCCCGCAGCTTCACTTTAACTCACCTGTCTGCGCAAAGAGTCAGTGCATATCTGTTGGAGTTTAGTGTGTTTTCCCTCGCTCTTCTGGCGTGGACGGCCGTCACTCGGAGGCGCTGAAGACGTCGATTGAAAACACCTTTTTTATCATTATTCCAAGAGCGAAATTTTGCAGGCGACCTGGTTAGGAAACATCATAGTTTAAACCCAGAGACTTATAAAAATGAAATAACAGACAAGACGATACAAAATCTCAATTTTGTGTCGTCTTGTCAGTTATTTTATCTCTCCTTGTTCCGGGTTTATATTATGACATGTCATTGCCCGTTGAAGGCGGTCTACCGCCGTTGTCAATTGATCCTTTCAAATCAGCCGAATTCCACAATGGTGCAGCCGCGCGTCGTGCCGCTCAATGGCCATCGGGCCATGGTGTCAACTGTCTAGCGGAGGGGCCTGGGCTGTGTACCTCCGTCGTTCCAGAGCCGACGTGAGGAACGGCGAACTGCAGTGGGGATCCCAGGGCTTCCTGGGTTCTGAAGCAGTGTCGGTCATTAAAAAAAGGATGTCTCTACTGGTTAAACGTCTCTCGGGAACATGTATAGCGCAGCAAGGTTGGTTGTGAAGAAGCAACAAACTCGTTCGCTTGTAGTCATGTCGAGGAATACCAGAAAACCCCTTCTGCTATGGCTTCGCCGGAGGAATAATAATCTTTAAGTATCTTTCGACTGTACTCAACTGCGCACGTTTAGCCCCAAGTAAAATACACAGAGGGATTTCTTACGAAAAACAAACGCTTTGACGGAAAACGTGCTCTTGACTTTTTGTCGCTAAAATGCTTGTCATTAACGCGATCGATTAATCAAATAATTAAGCGAATGAAGGTTACCGGTTAATTCGGTTAACATTTTTAATAGATGCCCAGCCCTACTTTTAATCTTTATTTAGTGCATGCGACCACCTTGAGAAAAATTTGAGCAAGAACAATTTTTGTAAATCATTCCAGTACGCGAAACTTTTTAAATCAGAGCATGAATAGAGCTCTACATTGCTAGCATGTAAGTATTAAAAATAAGCAAAACTTTGTGTTGGACTCTAAGATTGTGAATGAAAAGAAACCTGCGTCTGGGGGGGAAACTGTTTTTGTATATAGCGCACATCCATGTTATAAGCAATGACCTAAAAATAATGTGTGGAATTAGTACGTACGATGTTTTTTCGATGGAATGTGATATTTCAGAGCATTAAAAAAAGCCACAACCCGCTTTTTTTTTGGGGGGGGGGGGGGAGGGGGTATTTTATTTTCTACGCATGCGCAGTGTGACGTCCCCGGCTGCATGGGGGACCCGAGGCGCACCTCCCCTCCCCCCCCCCCCCCCCCCCCGCACCTTTTTCTATATATATTGTAATAGTATCATTTTTTCGACTTAAGCCTAAAGGTTAAGTGGTTAAACAAACATATTCAGCTATGACCAGAATGGTAGAATTTCGGGATATTAAACTAACATGGACTACGCTAAATATCTTCGCAATGGGAAAACATTCTGAGAGGATTTACAGTATTTAATTCTTGCTCACTTCCAAATGAGGAATGGTTGGCGCACTTTAGGACATCACTGGGACGACCCCGCGGCATTTATTTTAAATGCTCGTACGCCGGTGTCCCTGGTTTTACTATGGGCCCATGGAGGGACAAGCTGCAATGTATAATAAGATCACACACAAAAAAACACACTTGGTTAATTTTCTAGGAATGACGCACGCGCTATGAGTTATTATTACTTGCAGCTGCTCACCAAGTAAACAAGAGAGTAGTATTTAGAGCAGCGCAAGTGCTGTGATGCGCAGTTACGGCTTTTCTAATACCATAGTCACTAACTACATAAAACATGTATCTGGGCTTCTTTGCCATTGCCGTAGTTCTGATGTTTTGTTGTGGCAGCGCAACACAGAATTACCTTGAGCTGAAACCAGAGTTAGGAATGTACCAGGACGCAGCCCTGGTATGTATAAGTTTCCAGTCTTTAAAAATGTACAACTATACTCCGTTTCACCCTATGTTGTACAGCAACGAAAGCTAGAGGCGCGAGCTCATAGCGTTGGCGGCTGCCCTTAATGCTCGAGAGCTTGTGCCACCGAGGTGTGCCCTAGAGCAAGGAGCTCGCGCTTGTAGCCTTTCCTGTGGTGCATCTTATGGTGAAATACAGTATGGAGAGAATTTGTTTTGCGGATCCGGGGAAGTATTTAAAAACAAAATTTATTTATTTTGCACTGAATAACATTTTTGTAGATTTTTTCTGATGATTTATTTTATTTCTCGCGATTTCAATCTGAGGGTTGTTTTATAAGAGTTTCCTGTCTGCGTGAGCGTAAAAAGGACTAAATAATCAAAATTAACTTAACCGTAAAAAAATATTAACAGCGCGACACAGCTATAGCATAAAACCCAAATTTCCATTTTTTGTTTTTATTTTGCGCCTATAGTGCCATGCTCTCAACAAAGCTTCAAGTGCGACAGACATTTCACATTCAAGAAACAATGCATCTCAAGATGTAAAATTTAATAATGACTGTTTAGGTAAAATGCAGCAAACAAAATAAATTGCTTCATGCACTGTCGGGTAATTTCGTCTCAAATCGGGCAGAGTAAAAGTGTATATGTATCCGTTTCATAAAAAGACAACAGCAGCAATACCATTTTTTGGTAATTTTACACTCTAGAAAAAAGGCGAAACCATGGGTTCGGAGTTTTTTTTTTTTTTTTTCCTCTAGTTATGAATCGTAGTATAGCAGCCGCAGCGGAAATAAGTATTTTTTTCCTCGAATGTCACCCACGTAACTCTTACCCGTCTTTTCAAATATCTGTTTCATTAAACAAAAAGAGAGAGAGAGAAAAAAAAAGAAAACCTGTGAAGATGAGGCCGGTTTCAAATTTTGTTTCTTTTGCAGCCAGATTGAGGAAAACAGATTTATAGCGGGTCCTTGTTTTTGGCAGTTGTTTTCTCACATGGACTTGCTTTTGGTTCCAATGAAAACCTTCAGGCTTTTCCCCTCACCGAGACCTGGCACATTGCGTACAGAAACTACGAGGACGACCCGGCATTTGGTACTTCCAAGTGCCTGAGGTTCGCTCAGGTGCAACCCGAAAAAGATGGTGCATATCCGGTCGTAGCTCTGTACGGAGCAGACAACCAGTCGGCGTAAGTATCATCTGAGACACCTGAAACTTCACGAACTTTTGATAAACCGAAATATTTTGTCAGCGTCAACTGTAGTCACATGCAGTTTAAGAAACACAAGACATAGCTTTTTTTGCCCACTCCTCTCCCCTTGTGATTGGTTCTTTGGGAGTTCTTATCATCTGGGGCCCTAAATTCATCAAACACAAAGTTGGAGCCGAAAGTTCACGCAGCGCCGATTGGACGTCAGCGACAAAAACGCGAAGTCATCGTCGTGATTGTCCGATCGGTGCGCTCCGTCAACTTCGGCATCAACTTTGTGTTTGACGAGTTAAAGGTGGAGCTGTGCAACGATTTTTAACATTGAAACAATTTGCATCTTTTACTTTTGACATTGTTTATCTTGTCAGAAAAGACAGAAAGCACATCTCCTTCCTTTGAAATGTTGCGATTCCGTCGCGTAATGGCGAGGTAAAAATTATATTTCCCGACCTGCGGCCGCGGGCGGCGGCCATGAGAACCACGTGGCATGACGTCAATGGGGGACTTGTAAAAAAATATGAAGTTGTGCAAATACGTGCTCGATAAAAGGTAATTTTTCTATAAATCTTGTCGTTCCAGCATAAATATTGATGCGTCAAAACCTGGTATCACTAACAAAACGTTTGCTATACGGAGTTTTAGTGGCGCCATCTATCCGAGGTCAACAAAACCGTCAGCTCTATCTGCTCCCGCGAACAGCCGCCAGAAACCGGAGGGGGACGGGGGCAGAGCCGGACGTGAATGGCCGGACCCAGACGAGACTTTCCTCCTCTCTCCTTGTTGATCGCGCGACGGCTACGCAAGCACGTAGTCACGTGGTCGCGTGCGTGAGTTCTCGCTGCTCACTGGAGAGAAAGCTTAATCGGATGCCCCGCGCGTCCCCCACAGTCGGAGCGCAAGTGACTCGAAAGATGGTGAAGGAGTTGAGAGGTGCCGAAAACATTAATCTTTGTCAATTTTTAAAGTAAAAACTAGGACATCCAGGCAAAAGCGTTTTTTTCTTCTTCACTTCATGAGGGTCGAGACACCAACTTTCAAAATATTTAAGCGAAGAACTGAAACTGTTGCACAGCTCCTTTAAGGGCCCCTGGTGCCGCAGTTTCATTGATTTCGGAGGGATAATGAGATTCGCGGAACTCTCAGCGCCCCTATCGTTTTTCTTTTAATATCTTAATGAATGTAATTGCTTCCGCGACAAACAAACGTCGCACAATCAGGACAGCGACATTTTCCTGGTATGCAAGTGGCGTACCTCTCTGCACCCTTGAAGAATGACTAATTCTCCAAGGGTGCAGATTCAGTTAAGAAAAGATAAAATATTCATTATTATGGTAAAATGTCCTTGTTCACTATATATAACTTTTAAGAATGCTGGAGCAATAAAGCTACTTTACACATCTCAGTCAAAATGGGTCTGGAACACGTACTTTGTTTTGTAGCATTCATTCGTAAGTTTACGGTTGTTTCGGCATTGTATGTCACGCCCATCTCTACCGAGCCGTTGTTTCCTCGTCAACAGTGCGGAATGTTGCCGTTTGCAGGCCCTCTGAAAAGCAACCTTTATTTTTTCTAAAAAAAAACAGGGACGCGTTAAATCTTTGAACAACTGGAGGTCAAAAGAGTTGATAAACGAGAGCTACAATGCAGTTAGCCAGTTAATGATACATTAACGTTTTTTTGTTGTTGCTGCGGTTAATTAATCGTCCAATTGCAACAATTGCGTTAGATGCTAGACGGAAATTAATTTATCCGTTCATTAAAGCTTAAATTTACTTGAGATTTTATTATCAAGGTATCCTGTAATAAAATTCGAATTTATCATTGTAAATTCATCACTTCCACGTGGTAATTTTTATTGTGTCTATATAATAGATGTTGCTTCAACTTTGAACGTTTTGTTGATATTGTTTTCGATTTGACCTGCGGCAGCATTTGAATAACACTGCCATCTTATTATGCATAATCTGCAGTAATGCGGTGATAACCTTCGAGGCCAATGAAGGATATACCACCAAGAATCGAATCATGTTTCTTCCCGATAGTCGTAAGTATTCTTTAATTGACTATGAATAACTACCCTATAGTGGGCTATAAATAAAACCAGAATTTTGCGATGTATAAACGGAAGAGGTCCAGACTCGATCATACTAATGTTTACCGGCCATATCCACAATACATTCCACCCCAGGCAGCACGCCTGAGACACGCTTAACAAGTTTGGTACACTTAGGGACCTAATTTGGGCCTTATATGCATGGGTTCGCTTCAAGGCGATGGTTAGGGCCTAATCATTTTTTTTGCGATGACCATCTAGAAGAATAGAAATATGAACTTTCTCTGATTCGCCACATAACTGCCAATGCGTCATACATGAGCCAAATATGCTACGTGACAACCGAACAACAAGCAGTGCAAGCCTCATTCCGGCATTTGCTATGGCACTCTGGTCCCAACAAGCAAGGTGACAACCCAACGATCATGTACGGTAGCCTAACTCTGGCACTTGTTTCACAATTTGGGGCCAAATGGCCCAGCCACTTGAAAATGAATATCAAGTTCGGTTATACCTTGGCTTCTTTGGGCTTTCAGGACCACACATTTCCAGATAAAAAAAAAAAAAAACGAATTTTCGGCCCAAACAATTGTGATAATGAAATATGATTATTTCTCAGTTGCTGTGTTTACAGTTTCCAGCACACACTAATAAAAACATATTCTCAACACTTATATTGCAGAAGATCAGCCATTGCCCTTATATCTCTCTTTCCTGGATCCTGAAAAATGTGGTGTCATGAGGAACGTCTACGTTAATGGTACGATCACCTTTTGACAGATGTTTGCGTTCACAAAGAGCTCAAAAGACACTTGTATATATATATATATATATATATATATATATATATATATATATTGTGGGGATTTTGGACATTGAGAACCTCGGCTACGATGCGGACGGCGCGCGAGAAACGAGCGTGGGACAAAAGCAAAAGGTGCTGCGTGACGGGGACAGGACAGGTCACCCATGGCGGCGCAAGCCACCGAACACCGGGCTCGAAGAATAAAGATGTCTCCATCATGACTTGGACCCTTTCTCCAGACAGGCGGTGAGCGAGAATACCACAAATGGCGCACCAACGTGGGGCTCGCCGCTTGTCTGGAGCCCGGCAGAACAGTCACGATAGGCGAGAATAACATCATCCGCGACGGACGCCTGCTCGGATGCCGCTTCCAGGCCAAGGGCAAGTTCTAGGGGACCTACTTGAAAGGCCCACTCCAGGTACCTGGGCTGCTACGAGCAGCAGCAGTTGTGCAGCCCGTCGAACGCCCTGCCAGACCTGACTAGAGGAGCGGCAGATATCTTCGAGCTGTCCGCGGGCGGCTACGCGAGGTACCCCTGACTGCGAGTCGCCCTGCAAAGTGATTGCCCCGGGGGGCGTCGACTCTCTGCTTTGCTACGCAATCTAGGCGGAGCACTCTTAAGAGCAACGCTGAGAAGATCAGAGACGCCAATGAGAGTCTTCGAGAGTGCCAAGATTCAGGAGGAAAACATTGAGAGCATCACGTGAGGCGTCGATTGTCCGCTTTGTGATTGAGCTGTCCAGTTCTCCCGCCTTGCTAATCCAGTCACGCTTGCGACGCATCAGTTCACGAGGGTGGAAAGACTATAGAATGCAAACCTTATCACTGAAGTTTAATTTATCTTAAAGCGACAATGCCGGCGTTTCTGTTTGTTCTCCGTTATCACCCGAACTAGTCGTGGTGCAAGCTGGAAAACTTTTTAAGTTAAGGGCGCTAGTGATGATGCTCAGTTGGGGTAGGAAGACCGGTCAGAAAGCAGGCAAATTGTTTGTTATTGCCACTTTTCCCTTAATTTTATATCAGTGTTTATTTGAAAGCGTAAGTGCCTGCTTTGATGTCCGTTCTCTCTCTTCAACCAAGCTAGTCGGGGAGTCAGCTGGAACACTTTTTAAAGTTAGGCGGCGCTATTGAAGATGCTCGGATGAGGGGAGAGACCGGTGGGAAAGCAGACAAATACCTTGTGATTCTCACTTTTTCTTAATTTTTAGACGAGGACACAGTTATTGGCTACGGGAGGTTAATAATGTTTGTGAGGTGTCCTGCCCCGCGAAGTAGGGTTGGTGCAAACATCTGGTGTAATGAACTGCCTGCTGCTTTTGTGGAGCATGAGCAATACAGAAAGGGGGGGGGGGGGGTGGATGTGGGGATTTCGGACATTGAGAACTTCGGCTACGATGCGGACGGCGCGCGAGAAATGAGCGCGGGACAAAAGCACGGGGCGCGAGGCGCGTGACGGGGACAGGACAGGTCAGCCATGGCGGCGCAAGCCACCGAACACCGGGCTCGAAGAATAAAGATGTCTCCATCATGACTTGGACCCTTTCTCCAGACAGGCGGTGAGCGAGACGACCACAATATATATATATATATATATATATATAGGACAGGTCCTTATATAAAAAATCGGGGTTCTGGAGCTTCCGTGTCATTGGTTGGTTAGTGCCGCATTCCAAAGTTGGCCTCGACGTCAGCAACCTCCTCTCGGCCTCGATGTTCGGTCGTTGTTCTTCTCCGAATTGAAGGCGCCTAGTAGGAGATTGTCTTGCATGCGGTAGACGCAGACAAAACAGACTGCTCATCTGTTCAGGGTCGGATTCTTTCTGGCGTTCTCGTGGTATGCAGACGCCTCCGTGGAAGGCAGACGCCGTTGACAGAACACATCGACGGCAACGTTCTCGTGGAAGGCAGACGCTGTAGGCAAAACACACCGACGGCAATGTCGGTTCCAATGCCCTTGAGCAGAGGCCCGAGAGAAACGCTTCTCCGGTTTCGGTTGAACGTGCAAAAAGGGTTCGGATCGCACGCCAACCGTCTCGACGTTCGCTTGGTCGTCGTCCGCACCGGAATGCAAGGTCGATCCTCACAAACACAGGGAGATGGAGGCGGGTCATAACAGCACCTCCGCCGCCCGGTCGATCCTAAGGTGGAGTCGGTCAGCAGCCACTCGGCCGAAGATCGCAGTGATGACGCTGGGGTGGTGACGCTGTAGCCCCAGCCGCTTTAGGTCTTGCATCTGCCGTGCCTTGGGTCGGTTTAACCACAATGATTGCCAGGACTTCCGCTGTCGCCAACCTCAAACCACCCAGTAGGCAAGTGCCCAGCCCGTCTCCAAGCAAAACAAAATTCAACACTGCTGTGGTTTGGAACTAATACGGAGAACAAGAGCAATAAACTTGGACTCCGTGAAAAGAAACCCCAAAGTAACTAACGTAAATACACAGTTAAGACTCAAACAAACTAGGAATATTCCTTAAAACCTAGTATCAATGCTTCACTAACAATTTTGTGGATGCACAAATAGGCTTTCCGCATAAGAGGAAAATCCATTACATCGATTCCATCAGCCTAGGAGCAGCGGCTCAAACTGTCGGCGTTCGTATGCAGTTTATTCCGCTTGTACTTGCTGTCAAACGAATATTGTTGCAGCGCGATTCTCCAGCGGAGCAGACGACAATTTTTGGGCGACATGTTCCTTAGCCAGGGGAGAGGACAATGGTCTCTCTCAATGGTAAACCTCGTCTCGGCGACGTAGCAGGGTAGTTTCTGCACTGCCCAAACCAAACAGGCACATTCTTTCTCGGAGGTGCTATAAGCTTCTTCCCGAGTCGTGAGTTTGCGACTCACGTGCAGGATCGGGTGCTCCTCGTTGTTACAGTCTGTCTGGCTCAACACCACTCCCATGCCGCGGTCGCTCGCGTCGCATTGAATGACAATGGGCCTCTCGTAATCGGGCGCTCTCAAGACTGACTTCCGCATCAACACGCCTTTCAAGGTGTCGAAGGCCAGCTCTTTCTGATCATTCCAAAGAACCTGCGGTTCCGTCTTTCGGAGCGCGTCAGTCAGCGGGCTGGCTATTTCAGAGTAATCAGCGATATAGTGCTGGCAGTAGCCGCTTAGGCCGAGAAAGGCACAAATTGCCGTCTTTGTGAGCGGACGCGGGTACTCTTCGATAGCGGCAAGTTTTATCACGGAGGGCCTTCTAAGCCCGCGACCGATCTCGCGTCCGAGGTAGGTTACCTCTCCTCTAGCTAGCTGACACTTCATGGCTCTCACAGTGAGGCCGGCGCCGCGTATCCTTTCTAGGACACTTCTAAGATGCGCCACGTGTTGCTCCCACGTTCGAGAGAACACCGCGACGTCGTCAAGGTAGTGCAACGCGAACCCCTCGCATCCACGGAGTACATTATTTATCAAGCCCGAAAAACAAAACGGCGCGTTTTTGAGCCCAAAACTCAAAGTTAGTGGCCGAAATATACCCAAAGAAGAAAGAAATGCCGCGTAGCGACTAGCACGCTCGGTGAGGGGTAACGGCCAGTAGCCCCTGACAAAATCTAAGGTTGAAATGAATTGGGCCGAGCTCACCGTCTCGAGGCTCTCTTCGATGTTGGGAATCGGATAGGACTGATTTCGCGTGATTGCGTTAAGTTTTCTGTAATCAATACAGGGCCTTGGGTCTTTTCCCGGCACTTCAACTAGGATCAATGAGACGTGTAGTCACTCTCTCTGGGTTCAATTACACCCAGTTCTAACATGCGTCGAACTTCGGCTTCCATTATCTCGCGCTGTCGCGGAGAGACTCTGTAGGGCTTCGACCTTACCGGCGCGTCCGACGCTAACTAGATGTCGTGAGTGACGAGTGGCGTCCTGCCCGGTGTTTCTGAAAGTACATCCGAAAACTCTCGGACCAGTTCAGTCACCTCCTTAACCTGATCAGGTTGCAAGTTCCCCTTTGTTACTACTTCGCGCAACCTATCTTCGACTGCGATTTTCCCGCCTCTTTCACCCAGTATAGACATTTCTAGGTCCCTTCCCTCAGGTGCGTTTAGAGTCATGTTTACCACTACCTCGCGTTGCTGGTGGTGAAACGCCTTCCAGGCAGTTTCACCACATAGCTAGTCTCGGAGAGCCTTTCCATGACCTCAGCGGGTCCCCTCCCATTGAACTTCTAAACGATTCTCTTTCGAAGGCCTCAATAGCATGACCTGATCCTTTGGCTCGTAACCGCGAACTTTAGCGTTTTTGTCATAGTAGGCTTTTGATTTCGTCTGAGCTGCCTTCATGTTGTCGCCCACTACCCGTCTGGCGCCGTGCTGGCGTTCGAGTAGCTCCAAAACATACTCTACAACCGTTCGGTCCTCTCCCCGGTCCTCCCAGGTCTCCCGAGCCATCTGTAGCGGCAATCTCAACGTGCGGCCATACACTAGCTCTGCCGCGCTGAATCCGGTTGCCTCGTGAAGTGTTGTTCGGAGCGCGAACATTGTTGCAGGCAAGCACGACTCCCAGCCCCGTTTGTGCTCGAAGCACAGGGCTCTCAAGACGCGCTTGAGCACCGAGTGCCATTTTTCCACACTGTTGCTTTGAGGATGGCACACCGAGCTGTGGATAATGCGAATCCCACACTTCTCAAAGAACGTGGTGGTTAGCGCGCTTGTGAACGAATTTCCCAAGTTGCTCTGGATCTCAGAAGGAAGACCCATGCGGGCGAATACTGACAACATCGCGTCAACGATTTCAGCCGAGCTAAGATCCCGAAGTGGGACTGCCTTTGGAAACGTGGTTGCCGGACACAGCATTGTGAGGATATATCGGTATCCCGACTCGGTCACCGTAAGCGGTCCCACGGTGTCAATCACACGCCGCCTAAAGGGCTCTGTAATGATTAGAACCAGCTTCATGGCTGCTTTCCTCTTATCGCGGGGCTTCCCCACACGTTGGCACGCGTCACAGGTTTGGA